GAACAGAAGGAGAGTCCTGCTGTAATATCGACAGACTGGGGGGAAGAGTTGATACAGGCAATGCAAAGGTATGCATGTACAGATGCTCTGCCCTATTCCTTTGGAAGCCATTTAGGTATATTTGCAGGTTTTTGATCGAGGAATTTGTTTTCTATTATCTTGCCTAGCTGTATTTTTCTTGATTTTGTTTGCTTTGCCTTTGGCGCGCTTGTACTTGCTTATGTTTGAAGATGACTTTGAGAAGAGTTGCCTGAGACTACATAATTTTACATGTAAAAGCTTGTGTGGAGCAGAAAAAGCTCACTGGGGACCTCCTGGAGGATTTGCAGGTTTTAATATTGTTATATACCTACTCTTTTAGACTACAGTGTATTGAGAAGAGAAAGACCTGAAGGTTTTGGTGCATTGACTCTCACATTTTTGGATGGGAATTCAGGAGTAGTTATAATAATTTACATTTATAAATTTATTTTTGCCCTATACAGTCCTAAAACTGTTTACAAACTTAAACTGAAATACTAACTAAATGTAGGGATCGCTTCAACCAGCAATGAAACACAGTTGTTTTGGGGTGGAATGTCGCAGCACTGTCAGCAGCAATATCAAAACAAGATCTGACATACAGAATGCCATATCCATGTATCTGTAGTACAATTTGTTAGCACTGTGGCACCAAAGAAAAAGATCCTTGAGAAATCATGTCAGCTGTAGCAGAGGAGTACAGACTATATTTTAAGTGTGTATCCTAGAGGGATGGGGAGTGGCAATGGGAGACAGTTCAGGAATGGGCGCTAACTGCTCTCCAAAATATTCTTGCACCAACTCAGAGGAAATTAACACAGCCATGATTTACCAGATAGATGTTTCCTTGAAATCCACATTATCATCTAATAAGGTTCTGGAGGAATGTTTATATTGTCCCTCTCAAAATGGCAATCATCTCCCATTGTACTCAATGAGACTAAGGCCTCAGATTCCCTATAGGAAGATGGCTAGTCCCCTGTGCTGTGTGGAGGAAGAGATACTCAGTACTATTGTGAACAATGAGGGAAAGAGAGAGACCTTCCTCAAAATGGCCACCAACTGGTGAGTGTCGTAGTTCCTGTCCTATTGAGAACCATGGACGATAGCAGACATTTTGAAAAAGGGCTTTTCTTTATAGAGTTCTCAGTAGTACAACGCTGTATTGAGACTTTCAGTTATTAAGAATAGGAAAAATTACCATTAATCCAAAAATAAATTATTCAAATGCAGTCAATGCACATAATTTCTCTGAGTGTTAACTCTATGGGAAGTTAATGTGTATGGGAAGTGTGTTATTCCGTTACTGAGATCATTGGGGGTGGGGGAGGGCAAAGTCTAGCACCAGATACTATATTACTTTACGTCAGTTTGATTCCTAAACAAATCAGCAGCTTTACTTGTAAATTCTTAGAAGATTCATTCTATACTCAAACAAGAAGTGTGGTAAATTTGGGGAGGATATGCAGCATTGTTTATACAAAGCAAAGAAGTTTGGATTCCTGCTTTTAAGTACAAAACAGAACTCAGCCTTAACCATGGAGTCACTACGAACACCTCCGTAAGGCACCCATGGCATCTTTAAACACCAGTGACCATTGGGCTAAGTAATCTGCAAATGAGAACTCTTGACACGTGTCCAGTCTCCCTCATACCACTGAACCACTACCGCCAAACAAATAGAATCATAGAATATCAGGGTTGGAAGGGACCTCAGGAGGTCATCTAGTCCAACCCCCTGCTCAAAGCAGGACCAATTCCCAACTAAATCATTCCAGCCAGGGCTTTGTCAAGCCTGACCTTAAAAACCTCTAAGGAAGGAGATTCCACCACCTCCCTAGGTAACCCATTCCAGTGCTTCATCACTCTCCTAGTGAAAAAGTTTTTCCTAATATCCAACCTAAACCTCCCCCACTGCAACTTCAGACCATTACTCCTTGTTCTGTCATCAGGTATCACTGAGAACAGTCGATCCATCCTCTTTGGAACCCCCTTTCAGGTAGTTGAAAGCAGCTATCAAATCCCCCCTCATTCTTCTCTTCTGCAGACTAAACAAGCACAGTTCCCTCAGCCTCTCCTCATAAGTCATGTGCTCCAGCCCCCTAATCATTTTTGTTGCCCTCCGCTGGACTCTTTCCAATTTTTCCACATCCTTCTTGTAATGTGGGGCCCAAAACTGGATACAGTATTCCAGATGAGGCCTCACCAATGTCGAATAGAGGGGAATGATCACGTCCCTCGATCTGCTGGCAATGCCCCTATTTATACAGCCCAAAATGCCATTAGCCTTCTTGGCAACAAGGGCAAACTGTTGACTCATATCCAGCTTCTCGTCCACTGTAACTCCTAGGTCCTTTTCTGCAGAACTGCTTCCTAGCCATTCGGTCCCTAGTCTGTAGCAGTGAATGGGATTCTTCCGTCCTAAGTGCAGGACTCTGCACTTGTCCTTGTTGAACCTCATCAGGTTTCTTTTGGCCCAATCCTCTAATTTGTCTAGGTCCCTCTGTATCCTATCCCTACCCTCCAGCGTATCTACCACTCCTCCCAATTTAGTGTCATCTGCAAACTTGCTGAGAGTGCAGTCCATGCCATCCTCCAGATCACTAATGAAGATATTGAACAAAACCAGCCCCAGGACTGACCCTTGGGGCACTCCGCTTGAAACCGGCTGCCAACTAGACATGGAGCCATTGATCACTACCCGTTGAGCCCAACGATCTAGCCAGCTTTCTATCCACCTTATAGTCCATTCATCCAGCGCATACTTCTTTAACTTGCTGGCAAGAATACTGTGGGAGACCGTATCAAAAGCTTTGCTAAAGTCAAGGAATAACACATCCACTGCTTTCCCCTCATCCACAGACCCAGTTATCTCCTCATAGAAGGCAATTATGTTAGTCAGGCATGACTTGTCCTTGGTGAATCCATGCTGACTGTTCCTGTCCTCTAAGTGCTTCAGAATTGATTCCTTGAGAACCTGCTCCATGATTTTTCCAGGGACTGAGGTGAGGCTGACTGGCCTGTAGTTCCCTGGATCCTCCTCCTTCCCTTTTTTAAAGATGGGCACTAGATTAGCCTTTTTCCAGTCATCCAGGACCTCCCCCAATCGCCATGAGTTTTCAAAGATAATGGCCAATGGCTCTGCAATCACATCCGCCAACTCCTTTAGCACCCTCGGTTGCAGCGCATCCGGCCCCATGGACTTGTGCTCGTCCAGTTTTTCTAAATAGTCCCGAACCACTTCTTTCTCCACTGAGGGCTGGTCACCTCCTCCCCATGCTGTGCTGCCCAGTGCAGCAGTCTGGGAGCTGACCTTGTTCGTGAAGACAGAGGCCAAAAAAGCATTGAGTACATTAACTTTTTCCGCATCCTCTGTCACTAGGTTGCCTCCCTCATTCAGTAAGGGGCCCACACTTTCCTTGACTTTCTTCTTGTTGCTAACATACCTGAAGAAACAGATACAACAGTCATTAATAATGTAATTAAAACTTGATTTCTTCAAATATGGCCTATATACAAACGTCAGTTAATTTTAACTATCTGGAAAATTTGAAGTGACTGAATTATTCCTTTCTTAAAATCATTTGAGACAAAGAAAAAATTTGGGGGGTGGCGACTGCGGCGATATTTCGGTGGTGGGACCTTCCGCCGCCTCTGTGGGGGGCGGCATTTTGGGGTGGGACCTTCTGCCGCCTAGGGCAGCAGAAAAGCTGGCGGCGCTCCTGGATGGGACAGATGGTTAAGCATAAGAGGTTCACACATGTTGTTTGAGACCATTTAAAGTGAAGTGGGCAATTGGCATATTTGTAGTGGTAGGACAGTGGAGGGCTAATAGGCAGCAGGGTGTTACAAATTGTTGTAATGAGCCATAAAACAACTTTCTCTGTTAAGTCCATAGTTTTTAGTGTCCAGCCATTATGACTTTAAGGTCTAAGGCTTGTCTTTTGAAGTTGTAGTGTAGTGTAGGTTTCCTTTGAGGACAAGGACTGAAAGGAGTCATCAGTTTGTGAAAAGTGTGTGCCCACGGAGTTATATGTTGTTTTTGACTTTCATCAATTTTCTGTGTGAATTCATTTGAGAGCATAGTCATTGTCTGGTTTCATCCAGATACATAGTTGTTGTTGGGGCATTTGATGCACTGAATGCAGTACACCACATATTGTGATAGGTATGTGTAGGACTCATGGTCTTCAAAGGTGTGTTGATCAGCATAGCAGTGGAGATATTTCTGCAAGTTTTGCAACTATTGTTCTGACAAGGTCTGGTGCCACTTTCAGTTGATGTGTACCTGGTCTGTGGGAAACTTGCTTCTGATGATGAACTTGGTGAGGTTGTGCAGTTGTTTTAAGGCCAGAAGAGAGGAGGTTGGGAAAAAAATTCAGGATGTGGTCCTCATCAAATATGGATTATAATCATTTGAGGATGCCTCATTCTAGTGTGGGGTTGTAGGTGTATTGAAGCAGGTTCTCCTCAGGTATTCAGGTGGACCATTCCATGATGTGATCTACTTCTCCGGTGGAGTGTCCTTGTTTGGTGAAGGCTGTTTTAAGTGTGTATCCCAGACTTTCTCCTCAGAGCATATTCTGAGGCATCTAAGTGCCTGGCAGTAGCTAACAGATTTCATGGTGCATTTAGGGTGGTTACTGGATCTACGAAGGTGATCCATGGATTTCTTATCTATAGTTGTCTGTGGAGTTCCATTGTTGAAGCTGATTGTGTTGTCCAGGAGGTTGATGCTGGTGTGGGAATGTTCTAGAGAGAGTGTGGTGGTTGTTGAAGTTGTGGTGGAAATCTGCGAGGGAGTTTAGGTCATCTGTCCAGAGGATGAAAGTATCATCAATGTATCTCAGGTATATCACTGGTTTCATGGTGCATTAACTTGTGAATGAAGGTGGAAGCCAGCAATGAAATCATAACCTGGCCTCTTAGCTGTTAGCAAATTCCCTTCTCAAAAGTATATATCCCTCTCTCTTTTTCAGACAGCTGAAGTGGCACTGGCCAATCTGAAGAATAAATATGAGAATGAAAAATCAATGGTGACTGAAACCATGACCAAACTGCGAAATGAATTAAAGGCTTTGAAAGAAGATGCAGCAACCTTCTCATCCTTGAGAGCAATGTTTGCAACCAGGTAAGGGAAACTGCCTCATAGCCTTCTCTCCTGCTCAATAGTTGAAAGGCAAGCCTATGATGTGAGTGAGAGAACATTATCACCTTCATGCATTTCTTCTCATGCCCTTCATGCGCTAGTATGTGAATACAAAAGCTACTTTCCTCAGTGAGAGAGACAAGGTGGGTGAGGCAATATCTTTTACTGTTCGTGGAAAGGACAAGCTTTTGAGCTTTCTGCAATACCAGAGCTTTGTTGGATGAAGGAGAATGAAGTTTGTAATGCAGACTCTGCAAAAGTTTCAAGCTTCCAAATGGCACCAAGCTGCATGCCTCTGAAAATAATGCTTTTAAGTAGCAATGCCAGTACAGCCTTGGGTAAAGTGTTATAAATAACTATATTAGAGCCCTCTATATTTGGATTTATACTCTGTTTTTTGAAGTGGAAAATAAACATTAGATTTATGTGGTTTTTGTTCACACTCAGAAAAGATAAAACAGTGATTCTGCCATGTAAAAACTTTCACATAGCTAAACTCCATCTTTGCCCTTGCCATCTGATTTATTATTGACCTTTGAAAAAAAATCTATAATTCCCTATCAGTATGGCTCTGCTATAACCCAGCACTGAAAATTATCAGGTTACTGCAATTTCTCATTGCACTGTAAATTATTATTTTCTACAGCTGTTTGGTATTTCATTTATTGTCTTCTCGTTCATAGGTTTAAAAATGTCACACACCTTCTGCAGTGAATTTTTCAGTTCTTCCCAGCAGGATCATAATTAATCACATCTTATCCTTTTTTTTTTTTTTGACTAAAGGGAACTTCCAGTTTTAGCTGGTTTCTTAAAGGTGACCTGCAAATAATTATTTCCAAAAGATCCAATACCTGCAGCAATATGTGCTGAATTCCCCCAAGTAACCAAAGAAAGAAAGCTATTCAGCACTTTATGGGATTAAATCATCCTATTTTCCCCTCTAATCCGACACCACATTTAATGCAGGCTCCTGCTTCATGTAGTGCCCTATCATGCACTAATTCAGGGGTTTTCAAACTGGGGGGTCAGGACCCCTCAGGGGGTCACGAGGTTATTACATGGGGGGGGTCACGAACTGTCAGCCTCCACTCCAAACCCCATGTTGCCTCCAATATTTATAATGGTGTTAAATATGTATACAAAATAGGGCTGTCGATTACTCGCAGTTAACTCATGCGATTAACTAAAAAATATTAATCGCGATTAAAAAAATGAATCCGTCTCAACTGCATTGTTAAGCAATAGAATACCAATTGAAATTTATTAAATATTTTC